CATATACGTAAACATTCATTGGGTGTCAAGCAGATGGGAGAGGGGAGAAGGGGATGGGTATATACACACGAGAAATAGGTGCAGTGCACAGTCTAAGGGATGGACATTCTTGAAGCTCTGACTCAGGTGCGGTAAGGGCAGTATTTCTAACCTAAACATTTGTACCCCCATAATATGCTGAAATAAATTTTAAAAAAAGAATATAGTATAGAATACATATACGAAATATGTGTTCATTGTTATTAGTAAGGCTGCTGGTCAACAGTAGGCTATTAGTAAAGTTTTTGGGAAGTCAAAAGCTATATACAGATTTTCAACTGCATGGGAGATCAGTGACTCTAACCCTTACATTGTTCAAAGGTAAACTGCAGAAGGTGAGATATAATAAATTGAAATTTTACATTTATTTATTTGTAGCAAGAGGATGGCATCCTTGGAATCTGGTTTACTCTTTTAAAGTCCCTGTGAAATACTTTTAATGTTTTATGAAGATTTCAAAAATATAATCTTACTAGGAAATAGGGAGATGGATTACATTTTAGAAAGTTTCTTCCCAAATTTCTTCAATTTTTTATGAAATACAGATATGACCCTTTCACATGTATCAGGGTGCTGGCTTAATTTAAAAAATAAATCAAAATATTTGGCACATGATTACTTCCACATTGGGATACACCTACAATTAACCCTTCAGTGATAATCTCTGTTGAGGGGAGTCCCTCACTTCTTTCACTCACTACTCCAATTCAAACAGGATCATGAACGTTCAAAATTAAATAGGTATGTGGGATTAATAGCAAACCACCAGATCTGTCGTAGTGCCTGTATCCCTCTGATGGCTTCTTTTCCCATTGTTTTGAGATACAAATAAGCTCAAGGATGTAGCATAGAAAGTTGTAATTCTCTATAAACACAATGTGACCCTTTCTACAATCCTTTTGGTAATATGCCTCTGTGACGCACTCATTTACTCACTCTTTGCTTCATTCCTACATACTATGCACACCTAAGGATAACTGAAAAAGTCCTAACCTATCCATACATTTATCTAACAAATCAGAGCATTTCCATTTAAGACTTGTCAAAATGTTTGTGGCACTGACAACAAAAACTACATACAGTTTATTTCTAAAACAACTCATCAGTTGTAAACCGCACATTTAAGAATTAATTTATTAAATCCAAGTGTTACTCAGCCAAACAAATATTGACATGATGTAGCATCACAATATGCTCTCAATAACAGTTTTTACATTGCTAACAAGTTTTGCCAGGAAATCAAAGATTTATGCCAAAAACTGGCTCTCCGCATTTGTCTGCCAACCCTGGCCAGTGTTTTGCATCCAGTAACAAAATTCTAACACCCTTTATATAGCAAAGCAGATAATAGGGCCAGAAATCTACATTCCAAATGTTCACAATTCTCTTTGTTGCTATAAATATGTATATTCATGAAAAAGGAGTCTACAAATGCAAGTGTTTATGTAGAATGTTGAATATTAAATTTTTCAAGCCAAGTGAGATTACAGTAACATTAAATAGCAATTTATGAGGCCCCTTCCAAATGTGCTCATTTTCATTTTGGAAAACTATTTCAATATAATTCCAGGAAAAATGATGTCAAATGTAATGATTCACAATGTGGACTTTATAAGCATCCAGACTTAAGAGTCAATCTCATTGTAACCTTAAATCTCCACTTCCTCAACAGTAAAGTGAAGAGATTAATACTGGCATTTTGTGAAGAGATTAAGGATTAAGTGAGATAATGCATGTAAAGTGCCTAGCACTTACCCAGGAAAGACTAGTTCATGAAGGACCTTATATGTCATGAAAAACATATTTATTCATCAGGATTTTGACTACTGAACTACATGCTCACATTCCCACATCAAAAAACTCACCACAGCAACACTGCAAAAGAGGAGATGGAGCAACTAAAGGCTTCTTTAATAGTATATATGAGAAGACTAGGGCTTTAATTAGACACTGAGGATAACTATGAGATACATTTTGCAGCACTATTGCAAGGACGTGGAAACAACCCAAGTGCCTGTCAATTCATGACTAGATTATTAAAGTTTGGCATATGTTTACAATGGAATATTACTCAATTCTAAGAAATGACAGCAAGCTAGCACTGCTCATATTATCCTGGATTGAGCTTAAACCCATTATCCAAAGTGAGGTGACACAAGATCAGAAAAATGGGCTCTACATGTACTCACTGTCACATTGGTACTGACCGATTATCAATATGGTGCTCAAAGGGGGGTGGTGTTCACCAGAATTTCAGGGGGTGGGGGGTGGACCCACATCTGAGGGATATGGCAAACAGTGTGGAGGGTAAGGGCATACCTCTAACTTTTGCTAGGTAAAGGCAAAGTTATAAAATCTAACCAAAATGTTAAAAAACAAAGAAAATGTTATCGGATGTTGGGCAGGTGGGGGGGAAGGGGATGGGCTTATATATATACATATAAGTGCAATGTGCATTGTGGGGGGGATGGACACGCTTGAAGCTCTGACTCAAGGGGGGACGGAAGACAATAGCAATGTGTGTAACCTTAACATTAGTACCCCCATATTATGCTGAAATTTAAAAAAAGGAAAAAAAATGATAAATTAATAAGGTAAAAAGAAAAAAAGAGCATCAAGAGAGTTCTGTGATTGTTTTGATATGGCAAGAGAAAGGAAAACTGAATAACAAGTATCTGGCTTACACAATTTGGAGGATATGGACAATAGATTGGATAGATTGTGCTTTTTAAGAATATTTATTTCAATTAATGGTTTAAATAGCCTGGCCTAAATTATAATTTAATTCACCTCCAGCACTAATCCAGAATTTCTGTATTAAAAGGGTTATTGGCAGCAATCTGGTTGGAAGCATAAGTTATTAGAAGACTAATCTTGCAGCTGTATTTCCAAAATATTATGATTAAAAACCATTAACTGTCTGATAGGGCTGATGAATATGGGGGGACAGTCCCTACTCCCACTAAGCCACACTATGAAGGAGCACCAGTATCAACATTATCTTTATTTGGTTGGTTTGTAATAAATGTCCTAAAATTTTACATATTTATACATTATACAATATATTAAAAAGTAATGCCATTCATTGTTGTTACACACATATTGAGCACTCTGAAACGTAATTTAAAGATTACATTTTTTTATTTTTAAATTTTTAATTCAATACAGATCTAGTACATTGCAGAAAATGGATACTAAAATATTTTCCCAGTAGAATGTGCAGAATTTCAAAGTCAAAATATGGATTCCAATTTCCAATATCAACTTCTTTAAGCCTCTTTATTCTTCTATAAAATGGGGAAAATAATTTGGCATTGTTGTAAAGAATGAGATAATATAAGTGAAATTATCCATCAAAATATTTGACACATACATGTTCAACAGATTTCTTTTGAATGAATTACCTAAGTAAATAATACTTGTGTGTGGTTTTATAAATGGCCTCTGGAACACTAATATCGGTTAACTTAGAATCACTTCATTAAATCATCTTTCCAATTCACAAATAATTCAAGGTCCTTGGGTAAAAAAAACTTGGTAGTTTTAATATTTTAATAGTTTTAATATTTTGATTTGGTGCTAGAGTGGATTAAATAGGACTGAATTGTTTTTTTTTCCCCACTGACTTTTATTTTGAATAAATATCGAAAATTGACTTGAAAACCTTTAAAGGAGGTTTTACTACCAGTGAGTGTGGGAAACTTTTAGCTAGCATCTTTGCACTCAGTCAAGCTACTAGAATATCAAGCAGTGCAAAGAATACTGTCCAAGATTCTAGAACATTTTCTAGTTATTTTGACCCTTTAGACCTTATTCAATTCTTCTACAAAGTGAAAAGGTTGGCCTTCTCATTAACTTCAAACCACCTGCAGAACAAGTATCACCGGGATTGCTTTTTACCAGAGCTTCTTACATATCATTCCAGATTTAATGAGTCAGGATTTGAGGGGTGATTTCTGGAAATTTGTATTTTCAATTTTCTAGTTGACTTTGTTCATCACCCAGGTTTGGGATCTATCAGCATAGGCAATTGCTATAACCCCTCTTTTTCTCAACTTATTTTCTTCTGTAAAAAAAGACTGGCATTTGAAAATACAATTATGTATCATTTAATGACAGGAATACTTTCTGAGAAATCAGTTGTTAGGCAATTTTGTTGTCATGTGAACATCACAGAGTGTACTTACACAAACCTAGATGGTATAACATAATGCTCCTAGGCTACAAACTTGGACAGCATGTACTCTACTGAGTACTGTAGGCAACTGTAAGACAATGGAAAGTACCTGTGTATCTAACCATAGACAAGGCACAGTAAAGATATGGTATTATGTTATGGGACCATAATTGTATATGTAGACTATTGTTGACTGAAATGTCCTTATGCAGAAGATGACTATATATATATATATATACTAATTTCTATGACTTATGGCCATTAATCATTTTTGCCTTTTTTTCTTTACTACATTTGTTATACCCTGGCTAAATGGATGTGCTGGTTAAGAGCTCTAATAATAAGAATTGGCAATGTGTTTTATAGTATAACAAAATGTATTTTCATAAGATATTAATTATGGACCAATAATGCATTTAAACTAAATATAACACTTCAAATCATTCTGTACAAAGAAATTAGAGATCACATTTAATAACAAAATGTTCAGTTGTTTAGTAAAATGTTTTTTAGGAGCTCACTACAAATTTCAGAACTGAAGAACAAAAATATTAAATAAATCACTTTTATGGCATAGGACACCACAAATTTATTTATGCAATAAAACAGGCAGATTTTTGTGCTAGAAATAGAAGGCAGGAAAATCTAAATTAAACCAAAAATTCAGGAAATGAGTATTCATAAATTTCTAGTTAACTGAGGCTTAATTTTATAAGGAACAGGGGCCTCTGAACATCAGATTTTTAAATCAAAATAAAAACTTTCTCAAACATCAGCAGTATACTTTTTTTTTTTTACCGGCAGCAAAGACTTTTTTTTCCTTTGTAATTCAGAACCCTACTATTCATTTATGAAAGGTATAAACAATATCTGGTAATTACATAAACAACAATGGCACCCCTCAGATGCTGATTCTGTTGAATTTTCTTGTAAATTTTTTTTTTTTTCAATGAACCTAGGACCTATGATAGGGAAGATACTGAAACACGCTAAGATAAAAATTGGTCTTATAGAAACTTTATTCTCTCAGCAAGTATTTACATTTACAGCTCTAGAAATAACCAGACAGATAAAATCCCTGCTGCCTCCAGAGAGCTCACCATTTAAAATACAGCAGTCCCAGTGCTGATTCTGAATCACTGTGAGCCTTCATCTTTCAAGATTTGCATAGATACTGATTTCCTCTGGAAGGGCAAATACAATCTTCCCTCATGCATGCCATTCTTTGGATTCTCAACAGGGGTATTTTGAAATCTGTATGTTGACAAGGCCAATACTTTGCTTTCTCTAATTGCCTTCTGCTACTTAAGACTATGTCAAGTATTTTGTTTTCAGTTCTCTCCAACAAACCCTCTGCAGTTCTGTCTATCCAGCTGGCTTTTTCTATGATACTTTGCTATAGCTTTCTGGTCCCCTTCACTGTTGTCCTTTGTTGCTTTCCTCCTTACCAGAAGTCTGGTCATCTGGGCTTCCCCATTTTGCCTTTCCTGGCTTCTTATTCACTTAGGTGACTAATCTTAGCCCTTCCTTAAAGTTGGGTCTTTAATAAGTATTAACACACCAGCATTTCCTTGAGCTTTGATCTTCAGATCTTCTTTGTAACAATATTCTTGCTGAATTTCGCTTAGAATTATCATCCTTAAAAAAAGTGATTTCTTAAAGACTCCTGTTTTAAAAGTTGTATTCAAAGAGATTGATAAAGAAATGCATAGCTCAGCAAAGGATCCTTCTAGAGTATTGTCAATTTCCGCCTTATAAGTGCTAAATTCTGCAAGTGCACTGCTAAAATTTGGTATGGGGCATCAATTAATACACATAAAGGCTAGATTAAAACATTCAATTTTTGTTTCTTTTATACTAAACTGAAATTTACTTGACATATGAGGTTCTAAACCTAAACCTCAATGATAAGAAGACAGTTAACTATTCACTGATGTGTCCACTGCTTTCATCATAAACTGTATATTTAATTAAGAATCTAATTATGAGTCTGCAAATCAGATGCTATCAAGCCAAACTACCATCCATGATCCATAATCCTTTTATATTTTTAACTCAGATAAACATGTAAGATTTGGTCAATTTTAATTCTCTGAATGTTCTCAGAAGCATCCTCCAGTTATAAAACACAGTTAGATAATCCATTTACCCCAAATGAACTACCTGTTTGTGCTGTGAGGTAGCAATCAAAGACTGTATGATCTTCTGTGGTGGTAGTACCCAATTCGTAAGAATTGCCTCTTCACATGAAGAGTGTGAGCAAGGACGGACAGAAAAGTCACTTTTCATTATTCCATTGACTGTTGGTATTTTCATAGTATGTTCAATGCCTGATTTCAATTTTACAACAACAAAAAAATACCAATATTTATTATGAAAGGAAATCATATGCTCCAAGTAGCAGACATTAACAACTTCCAACACGATCTCTAGGAATAATTCGCAGTTCTGAACCATGTTTTAGAAAAACATTTCCTATATAAACAAACAAAACATAAAGTTAGATATCTGAAAATAATCCAACAATTATTACGTAACAATAAACAATCTAGTGAAAACTAAAGTAGGTACAAAAGCTCGAGCATCATCAAAACCCAATTTCATGCTTTTTAAGTCTTGTTCCTAATCTTCTCATATCTTCACAATCCAACAGATGTTTAAAAATTTTAAATAAGAACACCAGACACGACAATGCTAACAAATACACTCAGCAAGTAACAATGTAATTATTTGTGCATATTTGCTTTACTACACAGTAAAATACTAAAGACAGAAAAAAATAATAAATCTAAACTGCCACAAGTGACAAGAATTTAGAAGCCGTGACCTATTTGGGGTCAACTGCCTGATCAGAAGAAACTCTAATGATATGCACAATTCCATTTTTAAAGGTAATATAACAAGTAACATGTTAGAGTAAGCAGTAATTCAAATTAATGTAAATTAGTGAAAATTTCTAGAATGAGAAAAAAACAAAACTTTAAGTTCAAGGGCATGTACACAATAAAGTGCTTCACAATTTGCAATAAAAAACCTTTTAAACTTAATAATAAAATTATACACTTAAAACTGATTTAAGTAACAAAAGTCTGCAATTTTAAATCACTCTTCATTTTCTACATGGTTGAATTCCAACCCAAGGCCTATGAAAATAGTATTATTTTGTTATAATGCAGAAGTTCTTTAGAATAATTGAAAAATATTGCTCAAGAATGAGGTCATATTAAAGGATGCTTAATTTTAAAACATAATTAGATTGGAAAGTTCAAGAGAGTACATTAAAAAAAATAAAAATATTTTTTAAAAAGTTTTAGACTACAAAGTATAAGACTACTTTTACCCTACCTGCTTCTTAGGACATCAATGTATCACTCTTGTATAAAGTCTGAATCTCTGAGTATGGATTCAGCTGCTTGTAGCACTTACTGAAGGCTTACTATGAATAACGCAAGCTTTTAAGCACTTTCCATGCACTACCTCACAACTACCTACCTTAAGAGGTACGTCAAAATCATTATTTCCATGAGAGTACAATCTTACCTTCAGACTTTTTGTCACGTGTATTAATTAAATACTTTCAATGCATAAGCCACTGTTAGGTTTTCTGATATTATAGCCCACAACACTAACTGATATACATAATGAAACAAATTATTACTCAAGACACATAGGTAAAGGCTGCTATAGAATCCTTAAAAAACAGCTCATCCTGTTAAAATCCTAGCAAGTCTAATTAGAATAATTTAAATATTCAGTATCAATTGACATATATAGCCCCACCCACTCCTCCATGAGTTTTCAAATAGATACTCACCAGCAGTCTGTGCAGGATTTATTCCTATTCCATCTAGAAAATCAGTTGTAAAATTACATAAGTTATTTCTAAAGCTAACATGGTTTAGTAGCACCAAGAAGAGATTTGCCAAAATAGTGCTGCTGTGCTGCTGTGTATACAGGCACAGGCCAAACAATTTAAATCCCATGTCACACAGGTGACAGTTTTTCCAGTGAGTTATCTATCTGTTGAAATCTACTATTATTATGCATTCATACCCATTGCTGGATTAGACAAGAATATCTTTCAACAGAATGATCTTGGCAAGTTCTATGGAAGAGGGTGTTTAATTCTATTTTGTCACACAGAGTGAAACATATTTGTCATTTCTTCCAAAAAGCTAAAAGCACTTAGGTAGGCCATTAACCATCTCCATATTGCTCTGAGGCATCATGGGAGAGGCCACAAAGTCATCTAGCTCAAGTCCCACCGACACTTGAAAGTTTCAAAGCATATTCCTGAGTCTTATTTAGTGCAAACCTAAAACTTTCCAGAAAGTAGGCCAGCATTCTTCTAAACACAGAAACACTCAATATTTCTGCATGCTGTCACATAAAACATGTGAAGGCATGGAAAATATTTTCGAGTAAAAAATTCTGTCTTATCTAAGTCACATCATGCACATTAAGTCCATCTCCCCTTTCTCCTAACTGCACACAGACCACTCACCAGCACCCATCAGTATCACTCTGCATATGTGACAGATAGTTAAGCCCTCCCTGCAATCTTCACTCTTCATCATATTATTTCACTATTTTTTCAAAGGACTAGTTCTATTATATTTTATTATCATTATTATAAGATATTCAGATTTTTAATTATATACCTGACTGAATAAAATTCCCATTATTACAAGCCTCTAAGAAACAGTTTTCTGTCAGGAAAGGGATTGCAAGGTATAGCAAAGGCACATTTTGCTTAACTTTCCATATTCTACAGCATTTACTAATATAATTTTACTATTTAAAAAAAAAGACTTTTCTAAATAAAAAAATAATCTTCAGTAAAAATCTGCCATGAAGTGATAAGGACACAAGATATCATAAACTGCCATACCATATCAAAAGCACAAAAAAAACTGAAAAGAGCTAATGATGAATAATAACCCTTAGTATTTACCATTAAGTATATCATTAAGTATACCATTAAGACATGTATTTCAAGCTTTTTGTATGTAAGTCAATTTTAATTTGGTTCCTTTTAAACAATTTCCATATATCTGAGGCAATAAATAATCTTAAAATGAATTCTTACCATTGGTAATAATTGCACTTGTTGCAGCAGGAACTTTAAACTAAAAAGAAGAAAACATATATGCAGTTGTATTATAAAAGATGATCAGGAAGGCTAGGATACATATAATGAATTCTATAATTCTAAAATGTGATTTATCTTTTAGAATAAATGGCATCAAGAGAAAGTACAGTTGACCCTTGAACAACACAGGATTGGGAGTCCACTTATACACAGATTTTCTTCCACTTCTGCCTCCCCGGGACAAAAACAACCCCTCCTCAGCCTACTCAATGTGAAGGCGATGAGGATGAAGACTTTTATGATGATCCACTTCCACTTAATGAATAATAAATCTATTTTCCTTATGGTAACATTTTCTTTTCTCTAGCTTACTTTTTTGTAAGAATACAGTATATAATCCATATAATATATAAAGTGTGTGTTAATTGACTGTTTATATTGTTGACATGGGTCTGGCAACAGCAGGCTATTGGTAAAGTTTCTGGGGAGTCAAGGTATATGTAGATTTTAAACTGCACAGGGGTTGGTGTTCCTACCCCCTATGTTATTCAAGGGTCAACTACAATATAATCTGCTCTATCTTTGAAAAACAACCCATATTCTAAATAATGCATTTGACTGAATTTAGGACACCACTGATTGTAAAATGTACCTTATTTTATGTATTACAAAAAAAGGAAAAACACTGTCAATCTATGACCCAATCAATGTTTCCCCATTCAGACTTAGCCATGTCACTTTTATCATATATAATTCTCCTACATAAGCAAAAAATGTAAGCAAAATAAATCGATGAGATTATTCCCAAAATTTCTTCAAAAAAAAAAATGGCAAGCTCCAAACAGATGCTTTGTTGTGATTAAAGGCAGGTGCCTACAGAAGACTTTCAGGTAACAACCAAGGCTTGTATTACTTAAATTCTCCTTAAATGATTTGTTGACTTAAATCTCAGGGGATTGCAATAGTCCAATTATGTCAGCAGGAAATAACAGCTAAGTTCAGTTAGGCACACACAATGTTACCTGGACAATTAGGTAACTTCCATATGGCCAACAGGAATAGCAAGCCTCTCTTAATCTATTTCAGAGATGGTATAAAAAGATGTGCTTTCTGAATTAATGAACTTAATGGTAGTTAAAAGGTAGATTCCAGCTCTTAATGCTCTAGAGACCAGCAGTTGCCAAGGTGTGTTTACATCTTCACAGTTTATTAATTTATCCAACAAATTTTTATTAAGCATGGCTGTGTTATGGGCTAATTTTATAGATAGTATAGTTAGGTTTTATGATCAAGTTTGGAAAACACATTAAACTAGTGGTCTTCTCAAAGCCTTTAATATAGAGCTAATACAGTATACCTCCAACAAAAAAACAGTAAATGAAGTGTATACCACACTTTTTGGCTACTAACCCGAGTTTTTCGTGGCTTTTGTTTTTGGGTTTTTGTTTTGGTTTTTGGTGATACTAGTTTTTTTGTGTGTGGTTTTAGTTGTCTAGAAAACACTGCTCTAGGCATTTATAATGGTCATATAAACATAGCTGAGAAAAACAACTAAAAGCTTATTTTAAATCACAAATTGAAGAATCAAGTTTTAAAAGAGCCATGCAGAAGAATCACCACTTGTTACAGTATTATGCACCTAATAAACAATTTTACTCTCAATGTAGTACATTCTTAATTATAAACATCCTTTTAAGGATTTTAAGACTTTTAAAGAACTTTAAAATGCACTTAAATAATTTTTAAAATACCTAAAAAATACTTTACAGAAGGTATAATCTCAATAAAACTTCTTCTTTCTTTTTTTAAAAGAGACAAGGTATTCCTATTGCCCAGACTGGAGTACAGTGGTACAATCATAGCTCACTGTAGCCTTGAACTCCTAGGCTGAAGCAATCCTCCCACCTCTGCCTTCTGAGAACCTAGGACTACAAATGCACACCACCACACTCAGCTAATTTTTCTATTTTTTGTAGATACAGGGTTGAGGTCTCACTATGTTGCCCAGGGCTGGTTTCTAACTCCTGGCTTCAAGTGCTCCTTCTTGCTCAGCCTCCCAAGGTGCTGGATTATAGGTATGAGTCACTATGTTTGGCCTTCAATAAAACTCTGATCAAATACTCAAATTAATTATAGAACTCTCAGATTTTCAAGACTAAAATCCTACAAAGTTTTCAGTTACCCTTCTGAGTATTCCTCTTTGACCATGTCCATTTTAAGATAAGCTATACATTTTCTTAGTCACATCCATAGTGGCAACATATTTTATGAACTTAAAAAAAAATACAAAAGCAACTGCTAATACTTTTTTCTGTGGGTAGAATGTGAAAGCAATGGGTGACCTGAAATTAGGGGAGGAAACACTAGTTATGTAAAATATAGTAACTACTCTTTTTTATCCTACACTACTGACAAGTTTTCTCCTAGATGCAAAGTTTATTTTATGATCCTCAATTTTCATTTATTTTCTTATTCAGATCTCATAATTCTTATAACTTAGGATGTTACGAGGGTCTTTTCAGGTTTTGACAACTCATTACTTAGTTAACTGAATTCCCAGTCAAGTGTTGGGAAATTCTACTATTGCTTATTAAAAGACTTTTACCAGGGATTTAAATCCATACTTTTGGTTTGTCAAGTTAATGTTGGTTCTCACTGAAAGATGCCACAGTGCCATCTTCTAAAAGTCCCTCTCACCACTGCTTGAAAGTCATATCTTTACTACATGTGTAACAGTCATGATTCATAATAATTATAAGCCACATTAAAACCCTACTATACATGGAGACGTATGAAATTTGTTAGCTTATTTTCTATTGCACATCTGTTAGGATTTTCTTTTACCTTCATTAGAAGACCGATACAACTTTGCTATAGCATAAACCTAAAGAGCTCATGTAGAAATGGTGGGTCAAAGTGCATGCAAATTTTAAAGATTTTTTAAACATACTGCCAAACTGCATTCCACAAAGACTGTTACAATTTCCATACTTACTTCTTCTGCTGCAAACTTTAAGACTGCTGTGAAAGGTGTACTTTCAGGAACACTAAGTCTGCAAGAAGAATTTTAAAACAAAGTTGATGTTTTTTAAAAAAGTCCCTTTGTTCCTACTGTAGCTGACCAGGACAAAGCTGTCTTTTAGTTTCAAAGTTAGCAATTTTGACTGCATACTATATTCATTAACTCTAAATTAAAAAAAAAAAAAAAGGCAAATAACCTTAAAGCTGAGATGGTGCTCCAAATTCCACTTGAAAATTAACCCTCTCTACAACGTATAGGTATATACATTTCTAAGACCTGGATACAATTAAGTCTGGCATACAGGCTGCTGTTTGCTTTCTAGAGATGGATTTTAAAAAGTTGAATCGCTCCTTAGTCTTCCCTCCACTTTACCACCTCCGTTCTAAACACCTTTTCACTGGGGCAGTAATGTTACCATTTTTGTTGTTAAGTAGGGGCTGCCTGGGAAGCATCATTGGGTCATAAAGCTTTGATGAACCCTCCTGTGTACTATTAATAATAATAATGTCTAAAATACAAATAGTAGATCAAATTGATGAAAATAAGTTTTTATTTTAGAAATGTCGATAATGAAGTGACTTTTCTACATTTTATACCTCCATGTGAAACAGGTTTTAGCATAATCTAAAGTAATAATTTAAAAAGGGAAGTATAATTTTGGTAATTGACTTGCATAATGGCAAGCATATTAAAGATCACCAATAAAGATCTTTTTTAATGACTTAGCCCCAGGATCAATCTGTTTAAATTTTCCAACTTAAAAACTAAAAAAGAAATTTACATTATACTCTAAGAAAATAAAGACACAGTAAGTGGTTTAAAAATAAGTAAAATAAAGAAATAAGACTCTTAAGGTAAAAAGTTACAATGATTAAATCAGAAACTGATAATCTTTCAAAGCAGAGAAGACGGACCGCAAACTAACATTCCTCTTTGAAATTTCTCTAATGTCACCACCATTTTATTGTATTAATGTCTTAATACCAACTACCATTATGAAACATTCTCATGTAAATGTCAGGTTCCTTCTTGGACTACAGATCTCTGAATATAAGAATCATTATGTCAGCCACAGCATATTATATTGGCTTTTTGTAAGGGAAGTATGAACAGATTTCTTAGTTGTCCCCATTCCACTCCTCCAAAAAACTATTAAAGAATGAAAATGAGTATCATTTTCCCCCTTTATTTCCTAATTTTTAGGGGATGCAGAGAATAAAAACAAAATTCTAAAGGATAGACATTTGTTTAAAAAGTATCTAATAAGTTGGCAATGTGATAGTTTCCAAATAGGCAACAATATTTTGAATGTATTTCTGTAGTACATGTATAGTTCAGAACCTGAGATTGATTTCCCTGAAACTCTATCTCAATAGGAAAACTTCAAAAACCTTGAGGTTCAATTCACTTTCCAATTGGAGACTTGGAAATGTCTTTTCATTGTAACTAGATGTCATACTTATGTTCATGAAAATAAGTTTCTACCTGTATATTAAGTTAGTGAGACTGTCCAGCAAGCCAATAAAACATAAAATGAAAATATCTTTTAATACATGTTTTAATCGGCAGAAAATTGGTACAGAGGAAATGAGAGTCATGATGACATATAGACCTTACGTAGATTTGAAGCCAATGTATTTCCCAGTCAACATCATTTCATAAAATTGGCATTTAAATTATACTAGTGTTTTGAAAAAAATGGGAACCATCCTTTTTATTAAAGTGAATTTTTAAAGTGAATTACTGGCATCATTTGTTCTTTTAATAAATATCTCATATAGGCTGGGTATGATGGCTCATGGTACATTTATAGATTAAAAAGCAGTGTGGTCAATGGATTAAAAGAAACATTGTAGAGGAGATATTACAGCAAATTGCTAGAAGAGACTATAGTTATCCATAAGAGAGTGCTTGAAAATGACATTTTAGAGATGGAACAATTTTTGGAGATTTTTAGGTTCTAGGCTGTGACCATGAACATTTGAGATAAAATGTAACAAATGGTATTTTGGAGGAAAAAAGATCAAGAGAATAAAATTTGGGAAGTTGCATGGGTCATGGATGCGGTAAATCACTGAAATTGATGGCAGCTGTTATCTGTTGATTTAGGGATACTAAGTGTATTAATTATGCATAAAATCCTATTGAAGTCTTGTTCTTCACTACATTTTACATGACTTCCAGCTGCAATAACCTCAACAGTGTTTACCTAAAACCATAGGAAGGTCCAGATTAAGTATGTGGTTGGATCTGTTTTAATCCATAAGGCCCCACATAGATAAACTGCCCTATTTCCACATTTCCTGCTCCTACTACACACTCTTAATTAAATCCCAACATAGAAAGTGTATGTGATGTCCAGCTGTTGAGTCACTCGCACACAATGAAACCAGAAGCCTGACAGTAACAAGTTCAAGTAATTTCAGCGTCTTTGTCGGTACATTTTCCCTAACTTCTAACAGCTGGTCAGAGCGGTGAAAGGCCGTTCTAATCTCCAGCAGACAGGGACTGTTTAAGAATCCCAGCAAATTACCGAAGTCCTGTCCACATGGTCTCCGGCTCCACCTGCCCACCAAATGAATTCCGAGGGGAGGCCACTAACCAGAAGAAACACACCCACACCCTAGTGCCCCGGCCAAGCGGACACTTAGGGAGCAAGTATGGAACCTCTCCTCTCAGGCTCCTGGAAGGGCGCGGGCAGGGTCAGAGGGAGGGAAGGGATGAAGACTGCATGGGGTGAGAGTTGTCCGAAAGGTCTAGATGACCCCCAGCCCAGCCCCGTCCCCCGGGACCCCAAGAGGCCCGTCTCAGCCGAACTACTCACACTTTGTAGGGCAGCCGTGGGTCCGACGTCAGCGTGATCTTAAAGGAAACTTTCGACCTGAGGAAGACAGCGAGAGAGAGTTAGGGTCGGGCAGCGGGACCTGGGATTAGGGTGGTTGGTAAGCAAACACTTACATTGTGAAGTTGGTCTGAACAGAGAAACCACGCCAACTTCTCCGAGAGGCCCTACTTGCTGCTCAGTGCGGAGACCGCCCCACCCCACTCAGATCCACGTTTCTTTCCGCAAACTGGGGGCCTTCACAGTTGCAGTTGTCCAAAGTATTGCCTGAAAAATAGGCCCCAAATGTCATGCTATAGGGAGCCTCCAAGTTACAAGAAGCTACTAATTTTGCATATATTTATCTGAGGCAAAAGTATAGGTCCATATGTAAATAATATATATCTAACTTTATCATTAGTTGCCATATTTTTAGTCAGGCAGCACAAGTGTGCGCATAGGAAGTAGGTCTCTCGGTCCCAGCTGGCAGGTTGGGGCGGAAGTAAGGGTGTGGGGGAGGCGGATGAAGAGCGAGATGGACTCGGGGCGGGACTGGGGGCGGAACGGGGGCGGGACTTGGGCGGACGCTCTCCAAAGTTGCTAAGGCAACCTGCACGCTGAAACGCTTGATTGATGCTCTAGAAACTGGAATCTTAACCTGCTTTATCATTAGGTTTTTTCTGCCTTTCCAGCCACCCAATCCTGTTATATCTTTTACGTTCTTCATATTTTTGCCTTCACACTTTACTTTCCAATACTATTTTCTAAGTATTTAATTTCAACAGATAAGAAAGCTATCAAGAGCGAATTCTGTATGCCAAGACTCCTGCTAAGGTTGTTGAGAAAAGACAAGATCCCTGCAATTAAGGAACTTGGCAAATAGTTGGGAAGGCCAATGAGTGAGCAAGAGATTTCAATAGTTTGTTATGTGGTCCAATAGGCTTAAACCATTGCGCTAGGTTTTCAATCATCAGCCACATTTGTTCATTTTAACAACAAAATTTGAACACATTCTATGTGCCAGGCACTAATTGAAATGCTGGGGGCCCAAGATGAGTAAGACAGGTAGGTGCCAACCCTTTAAGATCTAACAGTCAGAGTTCCTGTATAGTGAGGGAAGAAAACTGTCTTCTAAGCTGTATTACAAATCTAAACATCTGTGTTTGAAAAGTAACCTTCCCTCTCACAATGACTGTAATGCCTTTTAAAAGAAATATTGCAATGAATAGGCAAAGCAGAAAGCAGGTAAGCACTAAAATAATAAGGAAATCTAGTTAATTTTAAAACTATGTTAGATTTTTAAGGAGAGAGATCTAAGAGAGGAATAGGGAAGGAACTGTACTGCAAATAATGAAGACTAATTTCATCTTTGCCATAATTTTATAGCAGACTGATCTCCCAATGGAGAGAGTTCTGATGTGGCTGTAGGAAAGTAAGAATTCAGTATTCTCTTGACAAATGTTGTCTTCACTGTAAAAACTGTAGGTCTTTCCATATAGAGAGGTGAAGGCAAATATTAATTAATAGATTTGGGTACCAATAGTTAAAGATTTAATAGCTAAAACTATAGAATTAGTGGGAATGACTAAGATTTTTAAGACTAGCAATAAGGATAAAATCACTGATTGTGTCTACCTGGTGTCAGCTGGCCAAATAATATCGAAAGAGATTAGTGTACATACTTACAGTCTCTATTTCTAAGAATATATATTATATTAATACATTTTAAACAAAATTTGCACCTTGCTATTTATACTTCGATATCATCTCATGTATTAAAAACATGTGGCAAAATCCTAAAGATAAAGACATATTTCGATCAGACAGTTTTTATTGTTTGTATTAAAAGTAGTGAATACAAGATTCAATCCTAGGCAGTGTGACTTCAAAAATCTATTTGTATAATACATTATATCAAAATAATAAGAAAAAATATTGTATTCTCAAAAGATATTAAAAAGTACCTAATTCCTAAATATTTAGAATTCTTTCCCTCCTCAATCCCTCAACTCTGCTCCTTATGTGTTTGTCTCCTGAGAGAGCCTTCTGCGTTTTATTTTTCCTGGGACATGAAAATAAATTATAAATGGATTCATTCATACTCAACATTTTGATTTTTTTTTAACTTTGTTAAGGCATTTGCAATTGAAAAACTTTATAGTAAAAGAAAGATCTTCTCATTTATGGACAAGTGAACATGTTGAAGTACATTTAATGACTAATCAAAAGCAAACTCTGGAGAAAATTTTAGGAGGTATTTGGCAAATGTAACATTTTAAGACAACAAACAGCATAAATGGCTTAATGTGTTTTGGAAGAGATCCAATTAGCATCATGTAGAGGCAGAAATGATTATAGAAGTGCACAGAACTCATTAAATGTCAATGAAACATACCAATATTTTATTTGCAAATACATATAAATCTCCTATTATTAGAAAGAGATCAGAATTAAATTAAATTTATATGAGGACTAAAATGATTTGTTTACACAGTCATAAAAGTTCTTCTTACCACTTATATCTGTAGCCAACTATAAATAAAATAGAAAACATGTTGATTTTGTGTGCCAAAAAAATTTTTCTTTCTGATTTTTTCACCCTGATTTAACTGTATTTATGGTTATGAATAAAAATACCTGATAATGAAATTATGTAATCTTGAAAAGTTTACAATGGAATAAATCTTATGATTCCCTATTCCAGATATTTCACAATTACAGGGAAAAAAATTATAGCCTGATCAATAATAAATGGATATTTTTATAGTAGTTTAATTTAGTCTTTTTGTTCTTTTCTCCTCTCATAATCCACTAAACGGCATTGATATAATTGGGGCAATGATGAAAATCGTGGTCAAAATTCATCAAGATTTATTTTGTGCTAGATATTATATTAAGCACTTTATCAAAGTAAAATCACAAAATATAAACTTTACACTTCAGTTGGCTTTAAGTTACAACTAAGTGACAAGAAGCCTTATGCAAAGAGGAGAGTGGATCT